ACAAATAAGGAAAAACGTTTAGTGATACGGATATCGGCTGAGATATCGTGAAAAATTATCAGGTGACGATAGTCACAACGGTATTTCAATTTCATCAACTGAAATAGATTTCTACATCTCTAAGTTGTTTTTCATAATATTTATCTAATTATTATAAATCCACTTGTTACCATTACTAGAATAGAAATAATTACCAAAAGCTAGACCTTATCATCACATCCAATTACATCACTTGGATATTTTTTAATGAAAAAATGAAATTATCAGTCTTTTTAACTATTAATTACTTGAGAAGATGGCGAAGTTAACGGATAATATCACCAAGTAATTCATTCGTGACATTAATCTTCATGATAATCACAGTGTCAGGTTCAGTCAGACCTCTCTAAATGCATAGTATTGGGCGGCCAAAAAATCTTGCATTTAGGGAGGTATTGCATTTAGGGAGGCAAAAATCTATAAGTTTTATATGAGTTGGGACCATGCAAGGCCATGCATTTAGAGAAACTATGCATTTAGAGAATACTGTATGCATTTAGGGAGGTCTTACTGTATATCAACACATAATCTACAAAATGATTCATATAGCAAATCCATCGCTACTTCCTAAGAAGTAATTCAAAATTTTAAGGTATCATATGTTGCCGGCTTACGATCAATCCAAGAAATCTCTGCAAAATGTTCTTCATTAATAATCAGTGTTATCAATTTTATCGGCCAACTCATATTTGTTTGGCCTTTTTGGCCAAAAAAATATATGAACTTCGCAGAAATTTCCGCTTTTTGGCCGGTAAAATTGCCAACACTGTTAATAGCAGATACAGATGATGGATTGAAGATATTAGAAATTATTTTACGGGCAGGTAAAATGAAAGAAGAGATTAATTCATCAGGAGCCATAATATTTTTTGTAATATCATCCCATAAGCTTGATCCAAGAAGTTGTCTATAAGGTTTAATTTTTGTCACCAAGTCCTTGAAAATATCGAATCAAAGAAATACAATTATTAAGTGTAGTCTTCAGTGCCAAAAAAATTCTGTTAGTCCATTGAGTGATATTAGAAGGCAGATCTGGAGTTTGTGCTTTTCCCCATTGAATAATCTTATCCCAAATTTCAGATTCTTCTAATTGTAAATCATCTGCAATAAGAGTTATCAACGCATTTTCGTGAATCAAAAATCAGGCTTGGATGTTTTGCGAGAATGTCAATGCAAAAAGTTTGTAGAACTTTAAAATTATTATTATGTTGAATGATAGATTTGAGTAAATTTTAATTTAATTCAAGATGCCCTATTACCAACAAGATATTATTGAATATATTCAATAAGCTCACCAATTCCCAATTTGTTAGAAGAAATTAAGGATCAAAAATCGGCATTTTCCAATGAAAATTGTACTAGCATAAATGTATCTAAATTAAGATCTTATTAAAATAAGTTTCCTACTCAATAAAATTTAAAAGTCTTACATAAATATGAGGTATTGCAATTTCAGAATTATTATTCTTTTTTGATAATTCTTTGACGAAAGAATGATGAACGATATAATCCTAACGAATGTAACTTAAAATTTGGATCGCTAATTCTAATACGTAATAATATTGAAAACCGCTCAAGTAACTTTGTACTTATTTGCGATATTCAAAATTTGAAAAATTCAATTACATCACCCTAAAAATTTTGCAAAAAATCAAATCAAAAAAAAAAAAAAAACCAGCTATAACATAATATATATTTACCTACGAAACTGCATTTTGCGTACTAATAAGGGAGCCTTCTCCCCTCAGCTGTAATTGGACGCATGAAATCCCGTCTTTAATTGGATAAACTAGATATCATATCACCTTAGCATAGCCGAAAATCAAAAACATCACCTTCAATAAAAAAAAAAATTCAAATTATTTTTATTAAACGAAAATATTTTATTAATGCACTTCCATAATTCTTTCTGCTAGTAAAAAAAAAAAAAAAAAAAATCGAATATTAATGAAAATAAATGCTTTTGAATAAAATTTTGTTAAGACCTAGTTTATAAGCTTGTCATTTTTTAATACGTATACCCAACTCGATTTCAATATTCTGGGCCGCGATTTTTACTTTTGTTTAAAAAAATAATTGTCAAGCTTTTGAAATGTTTCAAGTTTATTTTTATTGATACTGATACAAACTGCAAATTGCTAATTGCTAATTGCTAATTGCGAATTAATAGATTTTGGTTTAATACTAATACACTAATGTAAATCAAGTTCTCAAAAGTTATTTTCTCGAAAGGAAATAATTAGCCAATATTATGTACAGTAACCTTAATACAATACTGCTAGTTTGCTAATTAGTAATACTGAGAATAAATGTTACTGCTAAGTTACTAAATAATTAGTAAATTTTAATACACTTACAAAAAAAATAAATAAATAATAATTAATATTTATTTTGTTTTCGGATTTTCGTATAACAGTATGAATTAAAGTATATATGTTTATTTCAATTAAAAATTTTGCACAAAACAGTAAATTTTTACAGTAATATCCGATATTCGATATAATTGGCGAAAATTTATTATTTAATCGTTCGCACGAAATTATTTCAGTATTTACTAAAAAGATTTGAAAGTGCTATAGCTCAAAAAGAACAAAACGGTAGTATTAAATAACGAAAAGAATTATAAAAAAAAAATTTAATCAATATGTAATCATTGCGAAAATAATATTTAAGAAGTAATTTATTCTTTAATTGCAACGCATTAGATGGATGAAATTTAGCCACCCTGATTAGTGATGTAATTGATGCATTCAATGGGAAATGGGGAGAAATTAGTAAACCCCCATTAATAAAGAGTTTCCTTGCGAAATTTTGGTATTAAGAGAACTCTAGCCCTATGGTCCGCTAGGGTTATTATCATGTGGATTACCCAGATTGTGATTGTATGCAATAGAGATTAAAGATATGCATGCATCAAGGATTACTATCATACCTAAAAGGCAATATTTTCTTTACGCGTAATATGTTAAGAACTTTGATGAATTATTATTATTCTGGTCTATAAAAATTTTGAAATTTATTAGTTAAACATAAACATAAAAGTAAACGAATAAGATTGTCTCTTTGAATTCAATAATAATAGTACTAGAAGCTAATGATACTTTTTGAAATAAAATAGACAAAATTTGAGTGGAAATAACAATAGTAAATGGCTAAACCCCAAAGGATAAGCATCTGACAAAAGACAAACTCAAATTATTATGACGAAAGCCGAAACCTTAAATTTAAAATGGCGAAGTCCTATACTCAAAAAGACGAAACCCTAGTGCTAAAAAAAATGGTATTTTCATTGAATAAAAATTCATAATTTATCCAGAGAACGGTAACCGAAATTACATGTAAGTCAGCAAAATAATCAAGTTCATTTTTTCTGGGCAACACTAGGGTTGTTATAGACCGGTTGAAATAATCGTGTCAAAAAGCCATAGTGCTCATAGAATAATACAAATAATGAATTACAACATATTAGCACTTATGAATTTGTAAGACTACAAAGTAATTTCTCACTAGAACTGATACGTAGTGTATTAGTATAATATAATATTGAATACTCATCTCTAACTTCCTTTAAACAATAAGATTTTTTGTAATTTATAAATTTCTGTTTTTGTTAGTTTATTTATTTTTTTTTCATATTATCTTCAATGAGTTTCATTCGTCTTATTAGTTTTGCCACCCTTTGCAGTTTCGTCATTTAAGATTTTAATTGACGAAAGACGAAACTAGGTTTCGTGCTTCGTCAACGCGAAACCTCGAGATTTCATCTATCAAGAATTACAAAGAAGGTAGTAGGATGATTCAGAGTTAATCTTTGTATTTGAAAATAAGGAGGAGTCCGGAAAATCATATTTCTGTTTGAATTTTTTGATGATCGCTTCGTCAATCATCTTGTACTTTGAATGTTTTCTATTTTTCTTTTCCCTATAAGTAAAATGTACTGTAATTGTATGGGTTGGCTCGGAATGGCACGGGTTTCGGTGGCACGGATCAAACCCGGATATTGTACGTAAGAGGCTCGAAGTGTCACGGATTTTTGGCTCGTGTTGGACCGTATACCAGTGCCAATTGGACCGTTAACGACTCGGGTTTTGCAACACTTTACTAGTCCAATTGGTACGGGTTTTGGTACGGACGTACGTAAATTCACGTACCATCATGATAAATAAATATACATATTAAAACATAATTACTTTAATTATCATCAATATTAAAGTAATTGCATATGTGTAAAATTCTGCAAGGAATATTTTTCGTTAAGATACCCAGAACAATTTAATCAGTGAAATTTTGAGATATTGCATTT